AGAGAGGCCACATAAAGCTTATTCTCGATCATAACCCCATCTAAAAACACGTTAAAATTGTGCAGCAGCAGGATTCCAGTCAAACCAGTGAGTTTGGCGGTTTGAGACATCATCTTTTATTGAAAACAAAAACTTTTTCATTTTGCCGACGCGCATGGCTATGGCGAGGCGCGCGCATACCAGAAACAGGAGACTTTTTTTTGGGGGGGGGGGCCTTAAGTAAGTTGATGTATGGTTACAAGTCAAATGATACAAGTTAATACAATTATGGAATAATCATGAAACTCAATACCACTACAAAAATGGAACAACTTTACTAAAACTAATCATTATAATTGCAAATCAATAAAGCTCAAAAGTGAACAGATTGAAATTTGAAAAAATGGGTTCCACACCAAGTTGAAAGCACAAAGGATCATTTGTTTTCACGATTGTGTTCGTTTCCAATAACAACACCACTCAAAATCCAAAGAGGAATGTTTAAAACCTAACCTGTTGAAGTTTAAACTCAGCGGATACTACACTTTTCCATAAACAGTGCCGAGTTAAGTGAGTTAACCCCCCCCCCCCACCCGTTAACCCCAAGTTCCATAGGAAACGTTATTTTTTTCCCTCATAGTACAAGACGGTTCAGACACCAATGATGATGACAGACGACCAATCAGAAATGACGGGCATGCCCATGACGACCATAGAGGACACCACCATGGGTACCATGGGAACCACACCCGAGCCCGAGGTCATCCTGGTGTCCAAGGGCGGGTACCAGGATCGCAGCAACGTGCTGGGTTGGTGGTGTTCTCCTGTGCCTTCGGCATCGTGCTGGGTCGTATGGGACCGCAGGGGAACCAGTGAAAGCCTTCGCCAACTCCATGATGGAGACCATTATGAGGACTGGTGCGAGGCATCATCTGGTGAGAAAACAACCATCTTCACGACGTTGGTGGCAGCAGACTCACTTTTTTTAAGTTGAAGTCTTAAGCGACAGTCACAGGTCATGCGTTGTTTTTCACGATCTCTGGGAAAAGAAAGTTAGGGTTGTGGTATTTCATCAATTTCGGAAGATAAAACCCAACAGCGCTACGTCAAGAAAAACAAAAAAAAACATGCATGCGGGTAATGAAAGCGCCCTCTGTAGCTGAATCGTCATCACTAATACAGAACTTTAATTCCCATTATGATATCAGGGATTTTCCAAACCTACTAAATATGAATAAAAAGAAGAAGCTTGAACAGATCTCAGAAGCTGCGGCCTAACTGTTGCCCCCTGTAGCCCATACGTTATGTAGGCCCCTCATGATGTACAAGTCTGTGCTTAAAAATACACAACTTCTCACGTGGTCCTGACTGCCAATTGACTGATTCCCATTATTGTTGAACGTCATTTGATGCATGGAGCATTTTATGCATGTCGAACACCCAATTTGTGTGCAGTACAGTGCCAGCTCTAATGCGAATTTTCTACAACTGCAATAAATTGGTAGCTCTGGTCAGCCTGGGACGGCAGGTGTTGTTAATTGCGAGGGCCTAAGGGACAAAGTGACTGATTGCCAAAAAAAGGCATTTGCAGAAGTTTGTTACTTACCAATCAAGAGCCATGACCATTTCTGGAGCTGCTTTCTGCAGCTAAAAATCAATTTTTAGTACCTCTTAAATATCTTACTCTATTTATAATTTCAGCGCAATTTTTGGGTGTATTAAAAGTTTTCATGACTGTGTCTTCTTCTTTTTTTCTCTCCACTTGTTCAGGATTTCGCCCATCGGCATTTTCTTCTTGATCTGGGTAAGATCCTCGGCATGGATGACTGGGTGACGGTCTTCAGCCAGATCGGCCTGTACTCAGCCACCGTGATCTCGGGTCTTCTCATTCACGGACTTCTTGTCTTGCCGCTCCTCTTCGTCATCTTCACTCGCAAGAATCCCTTCGCCTTCATCAAGGGCGTGTCCCCGGCCCTCATGACCGCCTTCGCTACTGCCTCAAGGTGGGATACGCTGTCGATCCGGAGTTGTGATTGCGAATTTGCAGCGAGTGTACTTGCCGAGCTGCGGTGACCGCGCTGAATTGGCGTTCGCGTTCGAGCCGAGTATGAACTGGTATCACATAACAATTTGGGACCCCAATGAAATCTTCTCACCTCTATTAGCTTAAAGAATTGTGCGCAATAGGCCTAATTTCACATTATGCATCTTAACGCAAGCACTTTTAATGAGACCATCACTTGTGCCAAATAAGATAGGTATACTAGCGAAAAAAAAATGTTAAAGAAACAAAACACAATGCAAAGACAACCATTTGTCCTACTAGAGCAACTACAAATTATGCATCGATCTTGATCATAAAATCTTGTTTCATTTCTTTCCAGTTCGGCTACTTTGCCCCTGACTATCACCTGCCTGGAACAGAACAATCGCATCGACAAGCGCGTCACACGCTTCATGTTACCTATCGGCGCCACCATTAACATGGACGGCACCGCCCTCTATGAAGCGGTAGCCGCCATCTTCATCGCCCAAGTCAACATTTTGGAGATGGATGTGGCCACTGTCATACTATCAGGTAAATTAGAACGGAAGATAGAAAGTAGAGAGCTGGACTATCTTATACTAAGTGAGAAATGATAAATTTAAAAAAAAGTTTTCCCAAAACGGCTTGCCTCATGTATATGGCACGAGATATTTCTTTGACTACGTATTCATACAAAGATTTTTCACGCAGAGACGTCAAAACTAAAGTTACAACTATGGAAATAAAACAAAGGTAGGGCTATGACATCAAACTTTGTCAGTCTTGTCGGACGAAATGTAAAACTTGTTTTCAAACTTGCAACACTATCGCAACAAATAGCAATCATAAAGGTTCTAAGTTTCCGTGTGCCATCAATTCTGTCACAGCATAACCTTCATTAAAATTATGTTCTTAGTCTCATTACTTCTGTCACAGCGTAACGGCCGTTACAGGTTTCAAGTTTTGTATGTCATTGCTTTTATCACAGCGTAACGGCCACTTGGCTAGTATTGGTGGCTGCTGGCGTTCCGCAGGCTGGCCTTGTCACGTTGGTCATTGTACTCAACGCGGTTGGCCTACCACTGAAGACGTCACACTCATCATCGTCATTGATTGGTTCCTGTAAGTACTCATTTGAATATCATGTGATGCACGTCACAGTTTGGTCATGTCAGCAAGCACTTATTTGAATATTACGTCACAGTTTGTACAAGTACTTATTATAATATCATGCCACAGTTTTTAAGCTGTTAAAAATAGAACTAACTGCCATGCGACCATTCTAAAAAAACGATTCTTCTTCACATTTTCAAGATCTAGAGAAAACAAAAACAACTTTGCTAACGTGTTCACCATCTGTATAGCAGGCATAGAGGGTAAAATTATTTTTTTAACACATTTTCAACGATTATGTTTTTATTCAACTCCAGGGATCGGATCCGCACCACCGTGACGTAGCCGGGATTCCTTTGGAGCGGGCATCGTCCATTACCGGTCTGAGACCAACTGGCGAAGATGGATCGTCTCCATGGTAACGACAACAAGGACTTCCCTACCGGACGTAGACACCGAATATCTCCCTAAACTCAAAGAGTTTAACACCAAGCTGTAAAGAAAATCACGATTTTACAGAAATCACGTGTTACAACTGAAAGCATTGTATTCTAAATCTGAGGTTTTTTTCTAATAGAAGTACCAATATTTTTTTTGAGAGAGCTTTGGAAAACAGTTAAAGCTTGCGTTCAAAAGGACGTCAGGAACAGTCTATCTGAAGCCTTTAAAGGTGTTATTCTTCAGGATATTTCATATTTGCTAGGAAAAGCAAAATATATTTCTGCAAAATATCTATGCAACAAATGTAAATTTGCATAAACTCATTTGTATATAATCACAAATGCATGTAGTTTGATTCGGTGTTATCTTTTACCCTTAATTGGAGTACTTGAGTGTTTATGCAGTAACTTTATTTTGCGTTAAACATAAATGAAACAAAAATAGATTAACGCATGTTACTGAAGCTCCTTTCTGCATAACCATGTGTTGTACAACATCTCTCCAAAAATGTAACAAAA